TATGATTGTGGGTTCGAATCCCGGTTCGCCCTGATTATGTTTCTTGTTTCACCATACCCGTTCTCGTGGGCTTCATCGAAGAGGTAAACGTCTGAGACCTGCATCACTTCGGGCTTTCCTCTCATATTAAGCTGACACGCTGTGATATAACTGGAATACTGATAAAAGCGGTGTTAAACCCAACTCTCGCACTTACTCTATAGAATACTACGCGTTTAATCGCTAAGAACATTGAAGAACGAAGCGGGATGTATTATACGATTAATCATGACCTCATTTCTGATGATTCGATTGGGATCTTGCAACATTATAACGCAGTGAGTGACGACGTTAATTGTAAGAGGGAAGTGACCGTCAGGTTGCTTTCCATAGATGTTGAGGCATTTCCATCGTAATGGCAGCTGCATGAAGACGATAAACATCCCAGTGTCACCCACAGGGTACGGGTAATTTACATGTTTGTCGTGTCTCGAAATATGAATTGTAAATAGTGTATCGTGCCAAATATATGTGAGTTACTGAATAAATACAGCAGTTTCAAGAAAGTGGTAATTGTATTTATAATGTTAAGTGTATTTTACAACATGGACCAGGTTTATATTGTATCTTATGAGTGATGTCGGGATCGAGTTATCGCCCTTGATGAATTGTTTGTTTATTATAGGGTTAAGATAATGATTTTGTATATCATTGATTATTAAGTTTATGTTCATGTACAGAATATAGACGTATGTTTATATGAACTGAATGAATGTGTGAATATGTATGTGTATGAAACCAATGCAATATTGTTTTTATAATGTTATTGTTTTGTACATTAAAGGATGTCATTATCTACTCTGGCAATAAACACTCCGACCCGTAGCCTATGTTTGAAATTGTATTTTCCTTCACAATCCCCGGTTACAATATGACAATCGGTTTTGGGAGAAAAGGTACGTGTAATCGACCTGTGGATTGTGTGAGCATATGCGGGAAATACCCGCCTTAAATAGGGGTAAATTTTTTTTAACCATTGTACATTTTATCAACATCCTTAAAGAGGCTGTACATAATGTTGATATCTCATATAATCATTAAACGACTCGTGGTTGTTGTTTATTGTACAATAAAGCACTCGCCCCTCATGGTTTATTCTCCCTGCAGTGTAGTATTGTACCCCCACTCGTCGTTTATTTCTTTAACAGTGGCCCGCTCATTTATGATAACATGCGGGCGGTTTAATGATAATGTTATCCATTTTAACTATAAAATAATGTAAAGCGGGATGTTTTGTAGTCAGGTTGGAGCGGATGAAAATATGATAATTAATTTTGTATTTCAAATTGGTCTATGAGAATTTTGCCTTTCATGAATATGCTAGCCGTGTATAACATTGCCTCATGGAGAAACTCACTGGCCTGTGATTATTTCTGTAACTGAAGTACTGCTGGTGCGGCTTTAAGCAATATTACTCACTCACTGACGGTAATAGTTTTGTTTCCAGCTTTCGGACACATTAATGTTTTCACTATCATTAGACATTCATGTACACAATTTCTTTTGTTAAATTATATTGAGCATGTTGGGGTTTTTATTATAAAGTACATAGGAAACTGTAACAACGGGAGATGACTCAGACTTTGTGAGTGAGTGAGTGAGTGAATGAGTGAGTATGGGTTTAAGCCGCTTTTAGCAATATTGTGTATGTAAATTACATAGCATTTTCAAGCTCAAGTCATAAGTTTGCTAAATGCTACTTGGAGAATGAAGAGCATGAAAGAAGCATGACCAAAGGACTACTAACGTGCGCATGGGCCTTGACCTTGTGATATTACGCATGGGCACGGACAGCGTCTAAAACGCGAGAACACGAGATCGCGAGAAAATGAAATGTCGCATTCTCGCGTTCTCGCGATTTCGTGTTTTTGTGGCCTAATTTGACAAGTCGAGATTGCGAGATTGCGAGATTTTGCATCATGTCCAAATGTCGCATTCTCGCGTTGTCGACTTTTGAGAAAAAGTGCTAGGTACCAAAAACACGAGAATGCGAGATCGCGAGAACGTGAGATTTTGGCCAAATCTCGCGTTCTCGCGATCTCGCATTCTCGTGTTTTGGGCATATTTAGCTCGTTTCCTAAGGTCGAGATCGCGAGAATGTCCCTTACAGTATTCAATACATTTGTTCAACAGTTTGTAAAAAAGTACTCTGTGGCTAGGTAGTCGTGTGTAAAAATAAATTGGTTCAATGAAGACTGGGGTCAGAAATGAATTTGCAATCACCTGGTGAAATGTTGTAAATTTGTGCGAAAAACACCTCACTGTTTTCATTTTTGAAGATAGAATGTCTCCCATACTCTTTAGCAGATGTGTATTATGCGAATTGTTTTAAAATAATTTTAACATTTTAAATGAAATTATAGTTGTAAAAATAAAACCACGTAGAAGCATTCTTTCAGCGCTGAGTAAGCGCAAGTACAGTTATTTCTTTTAATATGATATCGCTAACTTAAGATATCTTTCAAATGAAAGTAAAACACAAATTATGATAAAACCAACTGAAAGGTATAGGTTTTTTGCTCTCAAGTTTAAAACTCCTTAATCACTTACATCCAAGTGGGCATTTAATCAAAGACCCATGAAGATTCCGGGGTAGAATAGGTCTTCGGCAACCCATGCTTGCCATAAAAGGTGACTATGCTTGTCATAAAAGGCGACAAACGGGATCGGGTGGTCAGGCTCGCTGACTTGGTTGATGCATGTCATCGATCCCAATTCCGTGGGTCAATGCTCATGATATCAATCCCTGCATTGTCTGGTCCAGACTCGATTATTTACAAATCGTCGTCATATAGCTGGAATATTGCTGAGTGCGGTGTTAAACAACAAACCAACCAACCAAATTATTTAATCAAATGTCTTAGTTTAAGATAACCCTTAAGTTTCATCCCTAATATTTCAGTGGGGCACCAAATTGACATATATTATGAAACATTTGCTTCATCAGTGCTTTAATTGCTTGTGTTGGAGTGGTATATTGTCTGCAGTTGTTGAAATACCACTGTCAATGGACACTGAATGCATGTTTCAATGAACATATTTCAGATTATATATCACATACATGAGTTTTTATGTTATTTTTCTAATGAGATTAGTCTTCAAAATAAACATAATTTTTCTCTTTGTTTCTACCTTTTTAAGTGAAGCATGTTACCATTTTCTTTTTAAGGTGTAAGATACATCCATCTTTATGCAGAAAGAAGGTAAATGAATGCTCCCTTATGATATCAATTACTGGCTTCCACAGAGAAAAGGTTTTTGAGTCAACAAAAGAAAAGGACATTCAAACTTGAAAAAGGTAACACCAAGCATCACCATATGAAAGTTCCATGCCTTTGGTGTAACCTTCTTAATAAGAAAACTCTTTCGTTCAGAAACTTCCTCACATGCATAATAGAAGAATTAAATGCACTGGTAAGGAATGTTGTCGGCTACTATACAAGGAGCAGTCATTTGTATTTTTATTTCATGATGAATGAAAATATGTCTTAGTGTTAACAGGTAAAACATATCTGATGCCATTGTAATTACTACTCTTAACTCATATTATAACTCAAATATATAAATCACCCTAACTTAGGTCTCTGTATAATCACTAAATGCCTTTGGTGTTACGTAATATGTCCTAAGTGTTACTACAAGTCAGCAGAATTTGCTTCTAAGTAAACGTTGAGAAAAAACTGTCTGATGCCATCAACTATTGTGCATCATTTGCTACTGATTGATTATTGTAACGTGAAAGAAAAATCTTAATAAATAATGGCAATGTCCTTGTCTTTGGCGTAACCGTTTTGTCTTTGGTGTTACCAGAGGAAATTCTGAAAATGATGCAGGTAAACACACATTGCTGAGCATGCTTGTCCATAAGTACAAAGAACATGTTTAATAAATAAAGAATATTGAAACTATCATTTTGGCTATGTGTGGGACACAGAGAAGAGAAAATTATCAATATTGCTTGTAAATTCTCACAAAGAGTGAACCAGGCTTTAAAACGTATGATTCAAAGTGACATTCGTATTCTGGTCCAGGCAGAGGTAACATATTAAAGCATAACAATACACTGAAAGAAATATTGTATTCATTTTTTCTCTGCAATTTATTGATAACTGTAATGATCACACCAAGGCAATGAACTTCTACTGTTTCTCTTGTATACTTAAAGTATGACAAAATAATGTTTCTTTGTGTTGGCATAATTTACCAAACCATTTGTTACGTTAAGATGGTTCTTGTTAAATCACTAAAAGTTGGAGTTTTAATTTTTGTTTATTCAACAGGACCAAAAGGGGTACATACCTAATTACCCATCTATTTTCGGTTTGATTCCTTTCATTTCACATGCATGAATATGCCTTTTTCCCAAATGAGTAAAAGTTGCAAATTGGACTTGCTTTTGTTTATTCAACAGTACCAAAGGGGGTACAAAAAGTGATAATTACCCATTAGTAAGTTCACGCACCAAGTGGAACCCAGTCTGGCATGAAATAGTCTTCTTTATTGAACCGAGAAGCAAGCGGAGAACCTGCTCTGGGGTAATCTTTGTAGTACACAGTATACCCATTGACCAACCAGGCAGCCCACCATCCGAATGTGCCTACTGTCATTATCATGTGATCACACAAGGTCAAGGTTGCAAAGTCCAAGTAAGGATCCGTGTTTTCCATAAGGATGACATCCGAGGATTGTAGATTTTCTCTGCACCATTTTTTGTCATCGGTGGCAGTTAGAAAAATAGGATTTTGGAACTTTGTTTTCATATGGTTGATAGCTTTACGTATGTAGGATAACGGGGCAGCCGTGTAGCCTTGTTTTGTGTCCCATGTCATATCTGTCCTCCGTACATGTAACCCTATGACAGTTCTGTTTTTATGTCGACTTGCATATTTCTGGAAGCATTGAGCACTGAGATCCCTGTATGTTGGAACGAGTGTATACTCCTTTCTTATTTCTGATCTGACAGAGTAGAAATACTTCCACGATTGTCGGTACCCGTTTAGCTGAACAGTCACATCAAGCAGGTTGTAGTGATCGCAGTCGTGTGATGCATACTTCACCTCATTGAAGAAGATCCTGGTTTTCTTGCTGACAATTCCAGTGAAGGATATGTTGAAGAGTTTTGTAAGTGTGTCCGAGTTTTCAAGAAGGGGGTATTTTCCTGTTAAGAACGCGATTCCCAACAGTGAAGCGTATCTAAACATATGGTTTCCAAGGCGAGATCCAGATGACGTTGTCAGTAGATTCTCACGGGGTTTGGTAGTCCGCCATCTTGTAAACACTTTATTGATTGTTTCGTCAGGAATTGAGAAGTTAAAGGGACATGTTGTTGTGTTCATTTGAATATTATATGAAGACATTCTTTTTCCAGTCCAATTGTCTAAGTTAGTCTCGTTGTTCCCGCTGAAAGCTTTTTTTATTTTCACATTGGACAGAATGTAATAGCTTGAACTACACAAAATGGTTACCAACGTTATCAGATTGAGAAGTAGAAAGCCATAATAGAATACCTTTTGCATGATCAGAATTTAAGCCCAGATCATGAAATAGCAGGTGTCTGTGTGTGAGTGATTCCTGATAATATATATAAAAGGGACACAGTTGGTCTCGTGTCCACGGCGCTGTTTTTAGTGTTCAGAAACTGAGTTCTACAAAGAGCAGGATCCGCTAACCATGTGTTCTAATCCCAGAAACACCCTGGTTGTGATCAAATCCCAGATACACGCTGGTTATAATCTCGTTTACCTCGGAGGATACACGTGCGTGGTGGTTTTCCAAAGTACGTCTATGACCCGCTCATATATTTATGCATCGTGTGGTCCCTGGTGTTCGCCAACTGTTTTAATCTGAAAATCAACCAAAGCCGTTGCTATTTTAGAACATAATCATCTTCAGTTATTTATCATCATATTATAGTGGGGCGGCGGGGTAACCTAGTGGTAAAAGCGTTCGCTCGTCACGCCGAAGGCCCTGGTTCGATTCCCTACATGGGGAGAATGTGTGAATCCCTTTTTCTGGTGTTCTCGCCCGCCGTCACACTGCTGTTATATTGCTAAAACGGCGTAAAATGAAATTCACTCACTCATATCATAAAGGAGTTGGGTTTTAACCTCCAGATATTCCAGATATCTTTTGGAACGTGTATACGTACCAGGAATGCACTACATATATACATTGTACCCACGTGCACGACCCTCCACAAAGGTCCCCTCTGCCCTAAGCTACATCGACAGTACAGTACTAAGTAAAGTGTGGGTACAATGTGCGGAGCCTATTTCTGGTGTCCCCGCCGCGACATTGCTGGAATATTGCTAAAAGCGGCGTAAAGCCATACTCACTCACCCATTAAGTAAAGTGAATAGTTTTTTATGTATGTTGTTTAACGCCGCACACAGCAATATTCGAGCTATATGACAACTTTGTGAAAATAATCTGGACCAGACAATCCAGTGACTGACATCATGAGCATCAATCTACACTACTGCCTAAAAGTTTATTCCCCTAACACGCGTTGAGAACGCGTGTAACACGCATGTGACACGCGTGCTCTACGGGTTGCACACGGGTTGAGCACCCGTTGTCCCATTTTCCCACACCCAACTTTTTGTTTGGTATTTTGTAGAATTATTAAGAGAAAGTTTTGTGTGGGACTTAACATTTATCACTAATTCGAAGAGGATATTGGAAATGAATATGAACAGCCATTTTGTCTCACTGTTGATAGAAATTTAGATCTTCACAATCACCGAGTGTGACCATGTAGACAGAATCTCGTTAGGGTTTGTGATTTTTACATTTGCCCAATGACCATGGTGAGGATTGTTGGGGATAGGTGACAGTTTACTATCAGAGGAAATTGGTTGTGAGTACTTATACCATTTGGATAGGATTTTAATCCTTTCTTTCTCTGTGGGTAATCCTTTCACGTTGATGGAAGGAAGTCACTTAACCAGGTCATGACAATGGTTATGCGCAAGGTTCGGAATCGCGAAAAGATCACTGGAGGTGTTGATGGAGGCTGGACATGCAGCATACAGCATTTCCAGTGTAGGCTGGCACCTCGTCTTTGTTGCAAGTGCCTTAATTATTTAAATTTCAGTGAACTGAGTTTATTCACATGTTAGCTTTCAAAGGTTGTGATGGATACTTATATAATCCTCAGTTGAGTTTACTTACTAACGGCTGTGAGCGTTTTGGCATGACTTCTGTGCTTGTATAAACACAGTAACTGCTAAAAGCGGCGTAAAACCATTCTCACTCACAGTAACTGTTAATCCTCTGCATTGTGCTGGCATATGGGGGAAACACCTGTGACGATCAAACTTAGTTAGAATCCTTGTTTATCTGTGACATCTTCCAACTGGTGACATTTTAGTAAACTTCAAAAGTGATGATGAATTTTAATATTCATATTATTACAGTTTTTCAAATTGTAAATAAAACTTTGATAAATTTGTGCTACACTCTCTGGAAAATGCATTGTCTGTGGGTAAGTTTATATATCACGTCACATCAGCATTTTTTCAGTTATATTGCGGCGAAATAATTGCCAGCTTATGGGACTACATGTAACATGGCTGCTTTTATATTTCTTATACAGGTGCTTGACTGCCTCAGTAGTGCATGATCAATTAGAATTTTTATTGTGTAAACAATCAGTCAAGTTTGCAACAACAGATGAATAAGTTGATAAATTTGGACCGCAGTTACCGATTAACAACTTAAGACATAGAGACAGGTCGTCGATATTATAACAAACGTTATGGTCCTGTTAAGACGATTGATAGTTAGAACGTTGGGGTAAATGACCAGATATTGTAGCGTCAATCGCTTTTGACATTTTTAAACTCACCTTAAGGCACACGACAAGTCAACACCTGCCGCCCTGATTATGTTCTTATGTTTGACAGCAACTATGCCCGTGGATTTCAGAGAAAGATATGATTTTTACCTTGATGTTATTACAGTAAGCCAAAATTGTTTTCAAAGTCCACAGTTTGTTAAAAAGTACAAAAATAAGAGCGTTAAGAATCAACGTTTTCTTTTATTGAACACAATATTTGAACTGTATTGCTGTAAATAATCTAGTCTGCTGTCTATGTAACTGAAACATATTTATATATGATCTTCGTATGCCACGTCTTATGACCTCTATTATCCCTGATGACACTATCATAATGTTCAATTTCAGTCTGGCACTCCAAGCGTGAATAAGCATTACAAATGTGTTGATAAACCACACTGACGCATATACAATTTTGTATATATGAACATTCTAGTTATTCTATTCTATTCTAGAATGTTACCCCATGAGATCTGTCATATACATCACGGATTTGGCGCTATCTACAGGTTCAGCCATTTCCAATTTCCTCCACTAGTTATTGGAAACGTTCAGGAAAATATTTCCTTTCTCCCATCTTTCATGCATGTAAAACATATACTTAGTGAGAGCTTTATATAAATCCATACAATAAACCAATGTTCATTCATTATGATATTGATGGGTGTAGGGAACAGTCTCTTTAAATTTTATGATTTAACACACACACATTTATGTACAGTTTGACAGATTATAATAATATGAATATAAAAAAGCATCACCACTTCCCAAGTTCACTAAAATGTCACCAGTGGGAAGTTGTCGCGTATAAACACGGATTCCAACAAAGTCTGATCTTTGTTTACCATGGAATGCATGAACTGGTTGAGTGACTTCTTTCCATCAGAATTACACACAGAGAAAGAAAGGGCTAAAAATCCTGAAGATATCCTGTATAGATGGTATTAAGTATTCACTACCAATTTCCTCTAATAATAAATTGTTCCATTTGACATCACTAAGCACCAATACTCAGCAGGATCATTTGGGCAATTGTAACAATCACCTCTAATGTGAAACCCCCGGTGATTGTTAAGATAACAATTCCTATCTGTAGTCAGACATCATGACAGTCTATATTCATTTCCAATATCCTCCAGTAAATAGTGGGTAATGCCAGAATAACACCCTCTGAAAAGATACCTCTAGCCCCCCACCAAACCTCCTCTTATTAACTTTTACCATAAATAAAACAAAAAGTAGGATGTGGGGAAATGTCCAGTATTGAATATCAAGAGAACTCTTTTTTCATAACGAAATACTAAATACCCGTATGGACCTTCTATTATAAGAAATACATCTTCTTGTAGACCTTTTAATTTCAACGGTTATATGCTACTTACGTTTAAATGTATCTAATTTTACAGTTAAAAAAGGTGTTGAAATATGTTAATGAGTAAAATGTATTCAACATATCTTCACACGCAACGCTTGTTGCAATAACTTCATTTATTATCATCGTCAAGTTTTAGGTTTTACGTCAACTTCACAGTCCTGTATTTCGTCGATGGGGTAGGTGGGGTTGAATAAGAATAATATGCTTATTTAATAGATATAGGGGTGGGGGGGGGGGGGGGGGGGGAGTTTAATGCATTACATTACATTACATTACATTATTGAGTGTAGTAAAGATTAATAGGTATATATGTTGACTATAAATTATAAATGATGTATATATGTAAATACGGATATATCAAATATAATACTAGAACATATGGATTTTGTTACAGAGGGAGAAAGTTTTAAATATAGATAAAATTAAGCCCTAATATATTAGTAATGTATAGCTTTGTTAGATGTTAAACATAGCAGGATATAGTAATATAAACAGTTAGGCTGTTTTTCAGTATGAGGGGCTTGCTAAATAAAGGAAAACTGAAGTGAACCCCAGCTTCAACATTCATATATTTTTATGTTATGATTTATAGCGCTTGTACAAGAAACATATTCTCCAGCAAAAGTAATTAAGCCTTAAGAAACCTGACAGACACTTTTGACGTTCAACCCGTAATCTTTAGGTTTGTTCATAGGGACAGGACGTCGATCTTTCTGAAGCATTGTTTTCACACAACAGCCGATAATCCCTAAGCTTACTCTGCTCCATTCGCCTTATAAAAATACCCCCGCGAATAGTTTCCAACTGCGAGAGTAGGCTTCTTTCCCGGGAATACCTCTGCCTTCTGGCGTCAAACGACCTAAGCATTTATTTGGTAATCTAGGCTTACATACATTTACACACACGCACGCACACATAAATAACATACATAATTTACATACATTTAATCATACATACAGCCATACATACCATGCATACAGAGAGCCATGTAATCATACGTACATACTGAATAGGAAGCGTGTGTATTGATCTGTTGTCTTAATCACTGATCTA